GCATGCTAGTTGTCAAGCACTGTGTGAAATCTATTACTTGAGTTACTGCATTGCAGCCTCACAGTCACCCTAAGAAGTTGATGCTATCATAATTATACCCATTGTATAGATTATGCAACTGCAGTTTGGCTTCCAACATAAACCACATCTGTACGTGGCCTCTATATTTCCATCCACACCCATGGGCTGTCATTGCTTAGCTGTCTCCATTGCAGTTAAATCAGGAGGGAAAATTGATTTTGTTATCCATTATCATATCCAATAGAAAGGCAGTTGTAATCTCCATGTATGCTAAGCAAACTGAGGCATGAAGAAGCTGAACAGTTCTTTTCTGGTCAGATCATCTTCCCTGGTGGTGGTGGGGTAGTGCCAATACCTCTAACATGTTACGCTGTTTGCCAAGGGAAACTGACTGTTTCTTTTTATGTACATGGTATGCAAGGGCTAAGAAAATGATTTTGAAATAGAAAACATGAGGTTTCAATGCAAGTGATTCAAACATTTGCATAGTGACTTCCTAGACTTAGTTTCTTTATTTCTGAATTGGGAATAACAACCAAATCTGTCTCAGGGTGTGCGTACTGAATGAGGAAAGATTTGTGGTTCCTAGATCACAGCAAGTGCTCCTTAAACATAATTGTGGTTATTTTCAATAACATTATTATCAGCTAAGTTATCTTGGCCCTTTTAAAAACCCATTACATCAAGAGCAACTGGCTTGAAGTCTATAAATTTGATCTTTTATTTTTTTGGGTAATAGATGCTGGGGCTTAGACAAGCTTCAGGTTTTTTTTTTTTCCATTTTATACTTAGAAAAATCTTGTTAAATCTTTGAGGGGCAGTCCCTGTAAGTGATAATTTAGGTCAGGAAATTATGGGAAAAGATGTATTGGTCTCCAAATACATGGAAATAACTCCTAGATCAAGTTCATCTCCTCAATTTTTCCCCATTGGAATTCTAATTCAGATCTGAGTTCTTCTAGCTCAGATCTTCTCTCCAGTGGGTGGCTTAGACAGCTGCCCACTGTAGAAAATACCTGTCCTGCCACTTAAGGTGCTGTCTACCACCAGCCTGCTTTTTCTACCTCCTGCTAATACTCCTGTGAGGCTGACAACACAAACTGTTTACCTTCCCATTGCCCTCTACTTGACTGTGTGGCCCCTCCTCCTCTCCAGGAGAACCCTAGCGTCCTGTCACAGTCTGTGTGAGGGATGCCTCTGCCAACGCTGACTCTTCCCTAGGGGCACAGCCACCTGTGATGGCCACGGGTAGCACTCGGTGGGCAGCTGCCTGGTGTCAGGAGACGTTGGCCTTCCTTACTTCTCTCCTCTGTTGAACACTCTTTCTGGTCCTCTCACAGTACAGCACCTCTCATCTCCTATCCTTGTCATCTGCTTGTCTTTAATTGGGAAAAACAACATAGGAAATACAAAGTGAACAACAAAAATCACACTCCAAATCTCACCCTCATAGCAATTTTCATGTTTCCATATTGTCTCAGAGGCTTTGTTCATGTACATTTATATACATCTCAAAGTTGCAATTACAGTGGAAGCACAACTATAAATTTATTGCCCTTTATTAAGTTATATTATTTCCATATTTCTGATTATTAAATATTCAAATATGTTATTTTGATATATGAGTTTACATAAATTATCTTTTTAGAACAGGTTTTTTTAAAATATGAGATTGCTTTGAAACTGCTTTTGTTAGTCTCTTCTTCCTAACAGTCTGAATTAATTTAGTTGCTTTCTGGGTATTACAAATAAGAAATTTTCAAGTCTCTTAGTCTTTTTCTATAGGTCATAGTTTATTCAACTCGGAGTGCAATGTTTTACATAGAATTTACTTCTGTAAAAAATGTAGTTGCTTTTAGTTTGTGTGTCCCTCAAATTGGTCAGTACAGTTTTTTGGAAAAATGGTCTGTTGGGAAGATGCTTCTTTCTCTGTTTTGAGGGAGATGGAAAGATATGCTTAGATCACAATATATTAACAAGGGCTTTTCATTTTGTCTCAGCTTCTGCAGAAACCGTGTCAGGAGTAAAAGGAGGTTCATTTCCCCCCTGTACTTCAAGAGGGTTTGCAGACCGTGGGTATGGGGGTATGGGCATGCCAAAGATGTTTCTTAGCCCTTCCTCCTTCTTGTGTGCACATGAGGACAAGCTGAACGGTCAGTGAGAGGCAGTGGAGAGAGACTTCCTTCAGGAGAAAGCGAGGGGGCTGGGGTGCTCCCAACCACTGTGCCCCCAACTCAGGGCAAGTGGAAGGGCCTTCAGAGACCTCAGCATTTGGTGATGTCCTAGGGACTTGATGCCTAGCATTTCAGCCTTTCAGTACCAACATGCCAAAAGACTGGCTGGAATATTTGCCGACAGTGGACACAGCCATGCCAGAATATCCCTGAATGTGGATCATAGTTCTTTCCTGTGAATCAAATTTGGACGTCATGGATAGGAGCAACACTTGGATCTTCTTGAATGGATGCCAAGAGGCTGCTCTGTAAGGCGAGGTGGTCACAGCACAGGGGTGGAGTAGATTGGGGTAGGAATGCCCCAAGTTGAGGACCTGGAGTGGGTGAACCCCAGTGACAGAGGCCTCCCACATCTTGGGAGAAGGGGACAGAATCTAACATTGACCCACATAGGGCACTACTGCCAAAAGATATTCAGCTAGACCCAAGGGAATGAGATTCTTTCGGGCCTTCCTTTCACTCTCCTGCTTCTATACAGGAGGAGCCAGAGGTACCATTGTAACAGAACTGCAAGGTGAGGGACATACAAGGGACGCTGGCTACATCCACCCCACTCACCTGGCCATTCTTCTCTTCAATCAGGCCTGAATTTAGAAGGGCAGGGCAGCTGAAGCAGCAGATAAGCCCAGACATTTCTGAGCAAATGAGTAGGAGGAAGAGAGGACCAAGTCAGTTATATTCCCCAGTCCATGGCTCTCCGGCGTCATTTGTGCGAAATTCTTTTTCTGCTTTTCGTACGTGAGCATTTTTAAGTTCAGCTCCTACTCCCATTCCTCCCTGTGGAAATCATTTTAATGGGTTCCATATGTATTTTTTGGTTTCGTGTGTTCTGGTAAGCTTTCTATTTGTGTGTGCATTTTCCGTTAATGCAAATAGCTCTGCTTTAACTTGTTTTGCTTCTTATTTTACACTGAGCACCATTTTTACGATTTATGCACGTTGTTATGTAGTCTCTTGTGATTAAGTGTTGCAATTGGAAGTAATGAATCTGGACTTTTTACAGCAAAACATTGAGAGTATTTGTAACTACCCAAGAAGGAAATTTCTGTGCTTTTCCTCGTGTTTCATCCAAGGCAGAAAGGATGGTTCCATCAAGCATGTTCGAAGGCAATTGTTTGGAAAACACGACACGACTCTTTTATAATCCATGCCCATTGACTTTAGTTCTTTGAGTTGACTAACTGCAAACGTAGTCAGTGATACATCTACACATATGAACTGAGCATCTGTGATGTGCAAAATTCTGGCCTGCACAAGATTCAAGGATAAATAGTCTAATAAGCAAAAAGCAATGCAAAATAAGGTCAGTTTCAAGGGTCAGAAAGTAATGTCAGGAGTTTTTAAAGGAATGGGAGGGAATTAGGATAATGAAGAAGAAGGATTTCAGCTGAAACCATAAACAGGATTTTGAGAGACACAAGAGCCATTCCACTCAGGGAGATAACACGAGCAAAGTAACATAAGCTAGAAAGTGCTGGGGGTGTAACTGGGAGACAACAAATGCAATCTTTTTGTTTTAGGCAAAAGAAAAAAAATAGTTCATCTTATCAGTGGCTAGTGATTTACTGTAAGGAGTCTGTAATCAGAGTGATGACGAGTTTCCTGCTAGTTATAGCCTGTGCTGCTCTCAAATATCAACATAAGAAACAGTAGCGGGAGGTAAATTTGCTAAATCAAGAGGTTTATTTATTCAGAATTGTTGTTCTTATGTATGACTTTCAATTTTTTTCTTAAAAATAAATTTATCCTTTAGTTCCATTTTCTATAAACCTTTTGAAGTTCTTTTATATGTAGAATGAACACGTATTTTTGTCTTGAATTTTTCAAGTGGCAATTTTTATACTTTCAGGCAATGCTTCAGATCATAACTTGTTCTCTGATCATCTTGTTCTGTGGATTTTGTAAACATTTTATAAAAAAAAGCTCCTTTAAGCACTCCTTTTTTTTTTTTTTTTTTTTTGACAGGCAGAGTGGACAGTGAGAGAGAGAGAGACAGAGAGAAAGGTCTTCCTTTTGCCGTTGGTTCACCCTCCAATGGCCGCCACGGCCGGCGCACCGCGTTGATTCGAAGGCAGGAGCCAGGTGCTTCTCCTGGTCTCCCATGGGGTGCAGGGCCCAAGCACTTGGGCTGTCCTCCACTGCACTCCCTGGCCACAGCAGAGAGCTGGCCTGGAAGAGGGGCAACTGGGACAAAAATCTGGCGCCTGGACCGGGACTAGAACCCGGTGTGCCGGTGCCGCTTGGTGGAAGATTAGCCTATTGAGCCACGGCGTCGGCCCCTTTAAGCATTCTTTGCTACATTATGGAACCCTCTCATGCTGTAACTGGTGGAAATTCATTCCCGAGATGTCTGAGTACCTTGTAATAAACAGTGAAGCTCCGTGTTTGTATTCATGAACTTCAGGCTTCCTGCTGTCCATCATGCTGACCTTGCCCCATCCTAGCAGCGGGCCTCATGAATGAATTCTTATCTTAATTTTTCTCTAATAAAACACCTGATATCCAGAGCGCCCCCTTAGCACCAGCTCAGACTGCTGCACAAAAGGGAGGAGGAAGTATCCTGTAAATTTGAGCTATTCAGGGAATTTACTGTTGGCAGCATTTGTATGGGGCAAAGGATCTCTTAACTGCAAATCAACAGAGGCAAGTTGCTATCAACAAGCTAGAACACAAGTTCCAAATGGAAGCAGGTTTGCCTCGCTGCAGGCTCGGCTGTTTGTGATTCTGCTTCTCCTTTTCTTTCAGAGCATTTTATCAAGGCCCTGCCCGAGTACCACGTGGTGCATCCTGTCCGAGTAGACGCCCGTGGGCATTTCCTATCCTATGGTTTGCACCATCCCGGCGCTGGTGGCAGGAGGAAGAGAGACTTGGCTGACTCAGCGGACCAGGTGTACTACAGAATTTGGCATGAGGAGAAGGACCTGTTTTTTAACTTGACGGTCAATCGGGGGTTTCTTTCCAACAGCTACATCGTGGAGAAGAGATATGGGAACCTCTCCCATGTGAAGATGGCGGCTCCCGTGGGCCCCCACTGCCATCTGCAGGGCACAGTTCTACAGCAGGGCACCACAGTCGGGACGGCAGCCCTCAGTGCTTGTCATGGACTGGTGAGTGCCTGGGCCTGTCATCTCCCTCCTATTCCTCAGGATCCTAATGTCTCAGCCTATACAGCCCCCACCAGCAGCATCAGAGGTCATTAACAGAAGAGTGGAGCCCCTGGGAGGTAGGGACCTGGCTCCAAGGAGGTTTGGCAGAAAGTGTGTGATAAATGAAGGGCAGTGGATCTGGGAGGTTCTCAGTGTTAGAGCACCAAGACTTCAGAGAAGGCAGGAAGAACTCCAACCAGGAACACTGATGGAGGACGAGGCAGGATTTGAGTTGGGTCTTAACCTCTGAGCAACTCTGAGGGTCTTCTTGATTGACTGGTTGGTCAGCATCTTTAGAATTAATGAAACCTAGATTTGGACTGAGCGTGAGTCTTCCTAATGATGGTATCAGCAGGTGCTATGCTATGATATCCTACTTTGACTATGTGCTTTGCACTTAGACTTTATATGGGGCTTTCTTCTCCCTAGGCCACATACAGTGCTCAGTTGACCTATCTGGGGGTCACCTCCTCCCTCCAGGGTCCTCATCCCCTGGCTTTGCTCTGGGGTTCCTATCATATCTGCCCTCTGCAATCTTGGCTCTTACTTACGTTTGAAAACTCTGGAAGCGTTAGTGGTACCTGATCCTCATGACCAAGGGGACAGGAAGAAAAAGTCCATGAGCTAGAAGGGCAGCATATGGCTACGCAGGATCCGTGGCACAAATTTGCAGAGGTCACGGTGCTCCAGACACCAAACGGCTGTGGGAACCCACGTCTAATCTTTACATATGCAAGTCATGTTCATGCTCATAAGCCGCTAGAAAGTATGGACCTGGGCACTTTGCATGGGTCAGAGCAGTGTGGTCTGTGGACCCGCAGAATGAACATCACCTGCAAGCTCATTAAAAAGACAAATTCATGGGCTCCACTGCAGACCTAGTGCATCAGAGTCTCTTGGGGTGAGTAGAAACTGCTGTATGTGTCAATTAGCAGTTTGCATTGGTACCTAACTCACGTTTGTGTAAGTCACACTCTGAAGTGCTCTATTCAGTAGCTTTACATATTTTGCAGACTTCTGCAACCATCACAGTAAACTGCAGAACATTTTCGTTAGCCCAAAATGAACTCTGTACTTTCCAATTTCTCATTTCCATCTCCGCAATCCTAGGGAATCACTACTCTGCTTTCGGTCTATAGATTTGCCTGTTGGAAGCCTGTATTTTTAACAGAATTATTAAGAATAGTTGTATATATTTATGGGCTTCAGTGCAACATTTCAATACATGAATACAATGTGTGCTGAGCAATTCAGGGTAATTCAGGTACACTACGCCCTCTACGACGCCACCTACGAGACCAAGGAGAGCAAGAAGGAGGACCTTGTGTTCATCTTCTGGGCCCCCGAGTGTGTGCCCCTCAAGAGCAAAATGATCTACACCAGCTCCAAGGACGCCATCAAGAAGAAGCTGACAGGAATCAAGCATGAATTGCAAGCCAACTGCTATGAGGAGGTCAAGGACTGCTGCACTCTGGTGGAGAAGCTGGGGGGCAGCGCCGACATCTCCCTGGAGGGCAAGCCCTTGTGAGCCCCCCAGCCCCCTGCCCGGCACATCTGACAGCCCCAGACCTGCCCTTGGGGGTTGCAGGCTACCCCCTCCCTGCCAGGCTGGAGGGGCTGGGGGGATCCCAGCAGGGGGAGGGCAATTCCTTTGCCCCAGTTGCCAAACAGCCCCCCTCCCCCTGGACCCTCTTCCTCCTCCCATCCCTGACAGTTCTGGCCACCCCAAACTGCTTTTGATTTTCTGATTCCTCTTGGGTTGAAACAGACCAAGCCCCCCCAGGCATCCCAGTTTGGGGGGAGTCCTGTTTTTTTTTTTTAACGACACCCCTACCCCTGCCTATCCCATTCCCTTCCCGTGCTGCTAACTTCTAACCACAGTAGGGACTGTGCTCATCTGTAGTTCTGTGTATAAATGGAATGTTGTGGAGATGACCCTCTCCTCCCCCGATTCGACCACTCATGTCCACAGAAGCAGGACCAGTAAGGGACCTTCGATTAAAAAAAACAAAAACAACAACAACAACAACAAAATCACAAACAGTATTTCCCATTTTTTGATGTTGCATTAGGACTGGAACCTTGGAGCTCCTGTCTTCTTTTTGCTTATCAAATATATAATAGTTTACTGTGAACCATAGTCACATCACTATGCTGTATAAAACTAGGAATTTGTTCGTTTGATCTAACATTGATTTGGGTTTGATTATCTAAGCTTCCTGTGTCCCGCCCCGTTCCTCCCAGCCTTTAGTAATAACCATTCTGTGTTCAGATGGAGTTTTTTTTTTTTTTTAAGATTTATTTATTTATTTAAAAGAGTTACACAAAGAGGGGGGAGAGGGAGAGAGAGAGAGAGACAGAGAGAGAGAATCCTCCATCTGATGGTTCACTCCCCAATTGGCCACAATGGCTGGAGCTGTGCCGATCCGAAGCCAGGAGCCAAGAGCTTCCTCCGGGTCTCCCACATGGGTGAAGGGGCCCAAGGACTCTCTGCCATAGCAGAGAGCTGGATTGGAAGTGGAGCAGCCGGGTCTTGAACCAGCACCCATATGGGATGTCGGCGCTTCAGGCCAGGACGTTAACCTGCTGTGCCACAGCACCAGTCCTGAGCTTTGGTTTTAGCTTCCACACATGAGGGATATAACAGAATTTGATTACTATAAGCCTAATGGAAATCTGTTTTCCATATAAGGAAAAATTTAAGAAAGTTCTGTTTTGTGAAACCTGTGTTTCCACAGGTTTTCAGGAGCCTTTCATTGCCCCTGAAGTTTGAGAGGACCTGGGCTAGCTCAGTTGTTCTTAATCGCGGCTCAACATGAGGATCACCTGCGAGATTTTAAAATGTGCCCATGCCTTGAACCCACACCCCAGATATTCTGATCGAATCTGAGGGCAGAGCTCAGCAGCATTCCGAAGCCCCTAGGAGATGCAGTGTGCCATGGGCATGGCTTGCCAGTAGATGAACAGAAGTACACAGGAATTAGCAGTATTAGCCAATGTTACTTCAAGACATTGTTCTTCAGATCACATCACAGCCTCCCTTTTCAATTCTGACTCTCACTCCTCCCCAGGTGATTAGAGGTGAGAACGGCTGCTCTAAATTGCTCCTTACTTTCATCTGCTACTTTCTTAGGGGAATTGCACACTGTTTAGCTTTATTCAGAACTTCAGCTTAGAAGTTCTGGGACCTTTTCATTTTCAAACGGTGCCCAGGAGCAGTGAGTACCACTTTGTGGGCATTTTCCGGTTCAAAGTTTGCATTCATACTGTATTAAGAGCAAATACGTGGTGGTGGTTAAATTGATTTTCACGACAGAATCATTGAATGCCTTTGTCAGAAGAAACGTCCCACTGGGATTACAAGTATTTTTGTAGACTTTCTTGCCTAATCAGACAATTAACGGGTGACTATAAAAAAGGAACCAGAGCCAAATGAGTTTCTTCTGTGTCTGTGACCACACCACCTGGCTGGCTTCAACCTCATTTGCTGGTGTGTCCTCATTTGCCAATGCGTGCCTAGAGTGGTCCTTGTCAGATGGATGGTGGTTGGATTCACATCTCATTTCTCCGGATGCTGCACCTGAGGACTGGCTTCTGGTATGTTTGCTCTCCCTTTCACCCAGTGATGACCTTGTGCACACTGAAATTCACAGGGTGGCAGGCTTAGGAGTTGCTGGCTCTAAGCCATCTGCTTCTCCTAGGTACAGAGCCAGCATTTGGAAAACTCTCTTAGGAGGGGAGTATTTTCATGTGGACCAGAACATCTGCCCGTCTCTCATGGGGCTGAGGCCTGGCTTCAGATGTGTATATCTGATTAAGATGTTGGAAACTGCTTTCTCTTGGGGTTGTCTGTGATGTGAGCCCATTTAGTCTCCCCTGGAGCAGAGCCCAATAGTTTCAAACTGGACCCTAGAAAGGGCAGCATGGGGAGCTGTGAGACCCCTTCTTTCCTCTGGTGAACATCTTTCCCCTGGCTCTGGCCCCTGGCTCAGCAGCAACCCTGTGTGTCACCTCCACCATTTTCCCCACTCTGCCTTTCAACACTCTCATAACTTGGAAATTATGGAATTTATTTCATTGGAGCACTTTAATTGATTTATTCAAGTCTAAGTTCTTTGATGAAGAAACAGTGTTTTTCAATTTAGACTCGGTTGATCTTCAGCAGGGTGAGGATCCTGGCAAGAGGAATTGGTTGCCGTAGGGCCCTATGAGATTGATTTCAAGCCTGTTTGTTGTTAGTGTTTCAGTTCGGATTTCTGCACCAGCAGGATAGTGCAAAATATTAACACTCCTCTCTCATGCATGATACAGGATTGTGGCTCTGTTTCCTCATGGAATATTCCACCTGTACTGATGTCCTAGTTTAGGCACCCACACTCTGGACTCTATACCTGGGCTGGTAACAAAGATATTTCTAATTCCTGTCAACAGCATTCTCAGGTCTGGTTTTATTCAAGTGAATACAGTTCTTGGCTTTTTTATAAATGCTTGCTTCAATTCCAGTCACTCCTAGAAAATTAAGCCCAGTTCCTATTCTGAATGGCCGGTATGGATTTAACAAGGGCATCCACGTTCTTCTTTCTTTTTCTTTTGACAGGCAGAGTGCACAGTGAGAGAGAGAGACAGAGAGAAAGGTCTTCCTTTGCCATTGGTTTACCCTCCAATGGCCGCCACGGCCGGCGCACCGCGCCTATCCGAAGGCAGGAGCCAGGTGCTTCTCCTGGTCTCCCATGGGGTGCAGGGCCGAAGCACTTGGGCCATCCTCCACTGCACTCCCAGGCCACAACAGAGAGCTGGCCTGGAAGGGGGGCAACTGGCACAGAATCCGGCTCCCCGACCGGGACTAGAACCCAGTGTGCCGGCGCTGCAAGGCAGAGGATTAGCCTATTGAGCTGCGGCACTGTCCACAAGGGCATCCACCTTTAACTCCCACTGGACCCTGTGGCCTTGCTTCCTTTTCTGTTTTGGCACGCTGAGATTTTCTTTACTGTTTTGAACTCAGGCATGGATTAAAATTTTGAAAGAACCATTTTCTTTTTTTAAAGTTAAAACTTTCACTTTGAGAGAGTTGTAGATACACATACAGTTGCAAGAAGTAATACGGAGAGGTATTGCCATGTTCCCTTTATCCAATTTGCTCTAAAGGTGATATCTTGCAAGATTCCTCTGGAATATCATAGCCAGGATTTTGACCTTGGTTCAGTGAAGATACTGAACAACGCCATCATAAGGCTCACTCCTGCTGTGCTACTGATCCATACCTCTCCCCTCCTGCCCCTATCACTTCTTTATGTTCACATTTTGCATTTAAGTCAGGGATCCATTTTGAGTAAATTTTTGTATGAGGCCTAAGACTTAGTTTCTTTTCTTATATCCCTCCCTCCCTGAGTCCCTCTCTTCCTTCCTTCCTCCCTTCGCTTCCATCCTTTCTTCTTATCTTTCTCTTTTTTAATAAAAGTATATTTATTGGGGCTTGCACTGTGGTGTAGTAGGTTAAGTCTCTGCCTATGGCGCCAGCATCCCACATAGGTGCTGGTTCAAGTCCCAGCTGCTCCTCTTCTGATCCAGCTCTCTGCTGTGGCCTGGGAAAGCAGTAGAAGTTGGCACAAGTGTTTGGGCCCCTGCAACCACATGGGAGACTCAGAAGAAGTTCTGGATTCAGATCTGTGCAGCTCCGACCATTGTGGCCATTTGGGGGTGAATCAGCAGATGGAAGACCTCTCTGTCTCTTTATCTCTCTATCTGTAACTCTGCCACTCAAATAAGTAAATCTTAAAAAATACACTTATTTGAAAGGCAGGGGGGTAGGAGGAGGGGGGGGAGGGAGAGAGGGAGAACCATTCACTGGTTCACTCTGCAAATGGCCCCAAAGGCTGGGGCTGGGCCAGGCCAAGGCCAAGGCCAGAAGCCCGGAGCTTCTTCCTAGTCTCCCACATGGGTGCCGGGGCTCAAGAACTTGGGCAATCTTCAGTTGCTTTTCCAGGCTCATTAGCAGGGAGTCAGAACAAAAATGGAGCAGCTGGGTCTTGAACCAGCACCCATACGGGATTTCAGCTTCTCTGGTGGAAGCTTAACATGCTATGCCACAAGGCCAGCCCCCCAACTCTGTTTATTTTTTTCGAAAAAATAGCTCTTTACATTGCTTATCTTTTTTTTGTTTCAATTTTGCTTATTGCTCTAATTTTAATAATTTCTTTCCTCCTAATTTTGGGTTTGGTTTGTTATTGTTTTCTAGGTCTTTCAGATGTAAGATGATTTATTTGATGCCTTTCCAGTTTCTTGATGTAGGCACCAATTGCTCTAAGCTTTCCTCTTAATGCTACATTTCTGTACCCATAAGTTTTGATGTGTTGTGTTGTCATCTTCATTTGTTTCTAGGAGTTTTTTTTTTTTTTATTTCCCTTCTGTTTTCTTCTATGACCTGCTATTCATTCAGGAGCATGTTGTTCAGTCTCCATATGTTTGCCTATTTTCTAGAGTTTCTTAAATTGTTAATTTCTAACTTCATTCTACTGTGGTTAGAAAACTTACATAATTTCAAGTGTTTTGAATTTGATGAGATTTGCTTTATGGCCCAGCATATGATCTATCCTAAAGAATGTTCCATGCACTGATGAAAATAATGTGTATTCTGCAGATGTGGGATGAAATGATCTGTAGATATCAGTTAGGTCCATTTAGTAAGTAGTGTAGATCAGCTTGGTTTTTTTTTGTTGTTGTTGTTGGTTGTTTTGTCTAGGTAATCTGTCCTTTGACTAAATTGGAATGTTTAAGTCCTCCAATATTATTGTAGTGAAGCCTATGTCTCCCTTTAGATCCATTAACATTTGTTTTAAATAGCCAGGTGCCCTGGCATTGTGTATATATATATATTTACTATAGTCACATCTTCCTGTTGAATTGATCCATTAATCATTATATAATTCTTTTCTTTGTGTATTTTTTTAAAAATATTTTATTTATTTGAGAGGTAGAGTTAAAAGCAGAGAGAGGGAGACACAGAGAGAAAGGTTGTCCCTCTGTTAGTTTACTCCCCAAATGGCTGCAGCTGCTGGAACTGGGCTGATCAGAAGCCAGGAGCCTCTTCCAGATCTCCCACGTGGGTGCAGTGGCCCAAGCACTTGGACCATCTTCTGCTGCTTCCCCAGG